AAAGTGCTGGGTTTGCAGGGGGCCACCATGCCTGGCCAGCACTCAAACTGGTTTAAATCTATCAAACAAAATAAAATAATGATAAAGAGCATTGGAATAATTCAATAAGCTTCATTAGCCAAGTAGATAAATAGACTTAACTCTTAATCCCAACAAGCAGAATGATGATGTACTGTTCCATTCATAACACTGAAAAGTCTCCCTCCCTCTTTTCTTTTTTTGAGACAGGTTCTTACTCTGTCGCCCACGGTGGAGTTCAGTGGTGAGATCTTGGCTCATCACAAGCTTCGCCTCCCGGGTTCAAGTGATTCTCATGCCTCAGCCTTCCAAGTAGCTGGGATAACAGGTGCCCACCACCACGCCCAGCTAATTTTTGTATTTTTAGTAGAGATGGAGTTTCATCATGTCGGTCAGGTTGGTCTCGACTTCAAGTGATTCACCCGCCTCAGCCTCCCAAAGTGCTGGGATTACAGGCATGAGCCACTACATCTGGCTTAAAAAGTTTCTCTTGATATTATTATCCCACAAATTGTGTCAACTTTCCTGAATCAAATTTCAAACACATGTACATCTAGAGAATCAGAGACAGTCTGGTATGTCATTAAATGCAATCTGAACTATCAGGCAATCAAGAACAGAAAAATAACTAGAGTTAGATAGCTTATTTGAAAACGTAGATATGCAAAACTCATGAAATATTATTCTGGAATTCACTAGGATATTTCACAAAAATAATTGATTCTGATTAGGTAGGGTTTATCCTGTGACTATGAGGACAAAGCGCTGAATAATTTCAAGACCTTGATCACTGCCTACTGACTTTAAGATAAGTGAATTAAGTCAGACACAGAAACAAAAATACTGCATTGACCCACTTCTATGTGGAATCTAAAAAAAAAGTCAAGTAGACTGGATGTAGTCTATTTGTATTTGTTTTCAAGCAAATACAAACAAAACATTAAAACACATTCTAAGCCTGGATGCAGTGGCTCACGCCTATAATCCCAGCACTTTGGGAGGCCGAGGTGGTTGGATCACCTGAAGTCAGGAGTTCCAGACCAGCCCTGGCCAACATGGTGAAACCCTGTCTCTACTAAAAATACAAAAACTAGCTGGGTGTGATGGCGGACACCTGTAACCCCAGTTACTCAGGGGCTGAGGCAGAAGAACTGCTTGAACCTGGGAGGCAGAGGCTGCGGTGAGCCGAGATCACGCCATTGCACTCCAGTCTGGGCAACAAAAGTGAAACTTCATCCCAACAAAACAAAACAAAACAAAACAAAAGCAAAAAGAACCACATTCTAGGATTCAGATGATTACCATGTGGAAGCACAGAGCAGAAAAGATGAAATTTTAAAATAATCAATTTTTAGGGAAGCTATAAATAATATAGGTATAGTGCTCTATTTTTCTTTTTTAGAGATGGGGTCTCACTCTGTTGCCCAGTCTGGAGTGCAGTGGTGTGACCACACTGCAGCCTCAACCTCCTGGGCTCAAGGGATCCTCCTGCTTCAGCCTCGCTAGTAGCTGGGACTACAGGTATGTGCCACCATATTTAGCTGTTTTTTTTTTCTTTTAGTAGAGATGAGGGTCTCATTGTGTTGCCAAAGCTGGTCCCTAACTCCTGGCCTCAAGCAATCCTTCTGCCGCTGCAGTCTCCCAGTGTGCTGGGTGAGCCATGGTGCCTAGCCTGGAGAACCATTTCTGACCCATTAATTTCTTCTTGGTCTGCTTCCCACCTTAGAGGACCCGTGAGATGGGGAAGAAGCTGCCCAGGGAACATTAATATGGAAATTCTGGTACTTTAGTCTCAGAGAATAAGATAGCCTAAGAGAAACTTGGAACTACTAGGGTTTCTGCGGGGGTGGGGTATGGGAATATAAAGGATCAACATGGGTGTGGTGGCTGGTATAGGAGTCAAGGGTGGCAGTGTACTGGATGACAAAGGAGAGAGACCTCACAGTGAAGTGGAATGTTGATTTTCCACCATGGAAATTTTCTTTTCTTTTCTTTTCTTTTTTTTTTTTGAGATGGAGTCTTGCTCTATCACCCAGGCTGGAGTGCAATGATGCGATCTTGGCTCACTGCGACCTCCACCTCTCAGTGAATTCTCCTGCCTCAGTCTCCCGAGTAGCTGGGATTACAGGTGCCCATCACCACACCCAGCTAATTTTTATATTTGTAGTAGAGACAGTGTTTCACTATGTTGGCCAGGCTGGTCTCAAACTCCTGACCTCAGGTGATCCACCCACCTCGGCCACCCAAAGTGCTGGGATTACCAGCATGAGCCACTGCCCCTGGCCTCCATGATGGCAATTTCTCTATCAGTGAAACAGGAGAATTCCCTGACCCCCTTGCAGGATGTGCAACAGGGTGTGGCTCATCTGTTCAGCTGATTGATAGTTGATAGATGATTCGTGGATAGTTGATAGGTAGATGATAAATAGATGATTTTTGATAATTGATGGATGATAAATTGACAGGTAATAGTTGATAGATATTGATAAGTAAATGATAAATAGAAGATGGATAGGTGACTGATAGATGATTAATAGATTATAAATAGCAGATGATTGAGAGAAGAGATAATTGATAGTTATTGATAATTGATTGACAGATCACTAAATATTGATAGCTAGATGATAAATAGATCATTGTTAGATATGTGATATATTGATAAAGAAATTCACTAACTCAAACCCCTTATGGGAGGTGGAGCATGCAGACAGGCAGGTGCAAAAGCTGGGGCGAGTACCTCTTGGCTCTGGCCCCATGGCAGTGTCCAGGGGTGGGAGACTGCAACTCCCCTTAGCCTTGCTGTCTGTGGATGGCTTAAGTGTTAACCAGCTCAGTGTCCTCTAGAATCAGGTCACACATAGACTCGAAGGATGAATGCTGGGGTTTTATTGAATAGGGGAGGTGGCTCTCAGTGGGATGGATGGGGAGCTGGAAGGGGGATGGAGTGGGAAGATGATCTTCCCTTGAAGTTTGGCTGTCCAGTGGCTGGTCTCTTCTCTGACTATTCCCAGCTGAACTCCTCTCTTTCCTCTGCTGTGCCGTTCTGCCATTCCTCTGCTCTTCTGTTTGTCTCACTGCTTGTGGAGTTTGGGGTTTCTATGGGACAGGATAGGGGAGCATGGCAGGCCAAAATGCAACTTTTGGGCATGAAAACAGGAATGCTTGTTCCTATTTAGGGCCACAGGTCTCCAGGCTTGAGGGTGGGGCCTTTGCTGGGGAACCACTCTCTTCTACCCAGTATTTCCCCACCCCCGTCCATATCATTAGTAATATAGTTTGAATATGTGTCCTCACCAAATCTGAATTGTAATCCCCAGTGTTGGAATTGGGTGGAGCCTGGTGGGAGGTGCTTGGGTCATAGAGGCAGATCCTTCATGGTCTGATGCTGCCTTTGCATCAGAGAGTCAGTACTTGTGAGATCTGATTGTTTAATTGTGTGGCACTTTTGCTCCCTGCAACTCTCTTTTGCTCCTGCTGTGGCCATGTGACATGCTGGCCCTCCCTTAGCCTTCTGCCGTGATTGGAAGCTTTCTGAGACCTCCCCAGAAGCCGATCAGATGCTGGCATCATGCTTCCTGCACAGCCTGCAGAACTGTGAGCCAATTAAGCCTCTTTTCTTTATAAACTGCCCAGTCTCAGGTATTTATTTATTCTTTCTTTTTTTTTTTTTTTTTTTTTTTTTTGAGGCGGAGTTTCACTCTTGTTACCCAGGCTGGAGTGCAATGGCACGATCTCGGCTCACCGCAACCTCTGCCTCCTGGGTTCAGGCAATTCTCCTGCCTCAGCCTCCTGAGTAGCTGGAATTACAGGCACACGCCACCATGCCCAGCTAATTTTTTGTATTTTTAGTAGAGACGGGGTTTCACCATGTTGACCAGGATGGTCTCGATCTCTTGACCTCGTGATCCACCCGCCTCGGCCTCCCAAAGTGCTGGGATTACAGGCTTGAGCCACCGCGCCCGGCCCTATTTATTCTTTCTTTGAGACAGGATCTCACTCTGTCACCCAGGCTGCAGTCCAGTGGTACAATCACAGTTCACTGCAGCCTCTACCTCCCAGGCTCAGGTGATCCTCCCACCTCTGCCTCCCATGTAGCTGGGATTATAGGCACACACCACCATGCCTGGCTATTTTTAAAAGTCTTTTGAGAGACAGCATTTTGCCATGTTTCCCAGGCTGGTCTCCAATTCCTGGACTCAAGCAATCTGCCTGCCTCGGTCTCCCATAGTGTTAGGATTACAGGTGTGAGCTACTGGGCCCAGCCAGGTGTTTTTTTTTTTTTTTTTTTTTTTTTTTTTTGTTTGTTTTTTTTTTTTGAGACAGTCTCACTCTGTCACCCAGGCTAGAGTGCAGTGGCATGATCTCAGCTCACTGCAACCTCCGCCTTCTGGGTTCAAGTGATTCTTGTGCCTCAGCCTCCTGAGTAGCTGGGATTACAGGCATGCACCACCATGCCTAGATAATTTTTCTTTTCTTTTCTTTGCTTTGCTTTGCTTTTCTTTTTTCTTGAGATGGAGTCTTATTCTGTCGCCAGACTGGAGTGTAGTGGCACAATCTCAGCTCACTGCAAACTTTGATTAGTCTCCTGCCTCAGCCTCCCAAATAGCTGGGATTATAGGCATGGGCAACCATGCCCAGTTAATTTTATTTTGTATTTTTGGTAGAGAAAGGGTTTCATCAAGTTGGCCGGCCTGGTCTTGAAGTCCTGACCTCAAGTGATCTGCCTGCCTTGGCCTCCCAAAGTGCTGGGATTATAGGCGTGAGCCACCGAGCCCGCCCTGGTATTCCTTTATCCCAGTGCAAGAGCCAAATACAACCAGTTTCATCAATTCTGCTGTTCCTAAGGGATGCCATGGTGTGAAGCCACAAAACACAACTGGGAGTTGCCTTCAGGACTTCATGAAGGGGGAAGACTGTTCTCTTAGCCCAACATGAACCAGTCAAGGGTCATGTCAAGAAAGGCTCAGAGACTTGTGTCCAAT